GTGAATTGGACCACATGGTTGAGCAAAGATGGATTTTTTCCTTCAAAATCCCTTGGACTGTTTGGATGTTCCTGAACTTGGTAAATATGTATCTTTTACTGTGTAGTTAAGGCAAATCATTTTAGGCTTTGTTATTTTGTAACCTCTGGTAGTCTGTTAAGCTCTGTACTGAATAAAAAATTATTCTTGTTTCTAAATGGTCTTTGATGTTGTACCTGAGTTCTAAATCTAAATCTTGTAGCCTAACGCTCACACCACATATGCTACCTTGGTAAAAGTGTGCATCTCTGAGTAGAGTTGCTAATGTGTTAAGCCCCAGATGCCAGCTGAGAGTTTTGAATCTCTGCTCTGAGCTGGAGGGGACTCTAGTTAAAAGAGGTTCTGGTGGCACATTGTTCTGAAACCAGAGAGGGTATAGACCATCTCGTGGTTTGTTGTTTAATGTACTGTAAAAGTACAGGGTTCCCTCCCATTCCTGGACTGGCCTGAGTGGCTAATCCTGTACACATGGCAGTCGGCAATCCTTCCATTTGATTCACCAACTGTATTGTGGCAATCATTCTTAAATTCTCATCTCTCCTCCAGAGCTCTGAACCAATCCATGTGATTTGGACTTCATGCAAATCCAAGTTACTGTCAGCCGATCAGAGCCCATGGTACTCCACTGGACAGGAGTGGTAAGCCAGCCTCAGTTTAAGAAGGGGGAAGAAAACTCTCTCTTCCCCCCCCCCTCTCTGGGTAGGGATTGCATGGCTCTGGAAAGGAACATCAGCTTAGCCAGGCTTTTATTTCACTTTTAGTTAGGGTTTGGGGGTCGGGCTTAGGGAAGAAGGCTTATTTTAGTGTGACAAATAAGATTCCTATTAAAGGCCCATAATTCCTAACTGGTGTGTGTAGGTTCTGTTATGCTGATAAGTTATGCTAATAAGCTCCTGAACTTCTTTTTCTACAAAATGACCCCTGAGTCTTCAACTATTTCATCACCAGATGTAGATTATATTTGGCACTTGAGGTATGTCCTGGGATACACTCCTAGGAAAATAGCTGTTGTAGATTTTTTTTAAATCCCTTTTGTTAGAACCAACACACAATTTCATCCTTCCGGTACAAGGCTGATTTACACATTACAAAGTTCCCATGTCTCCAGTCATGTTCTGGTAGCCCCCCTCTGGGAGCTTTTCCCTCATGTATGCGGGCCTAATTCAGGCCTGGGAATTAAGATATCTGCTGGGAACTCCAGGTGCACATCTGCTCTAAAATCCTTGCGATGACCACAGGTCTGCCATGTGGACTTTGTATCATGTGAATCAGATCTGATACAGCCTCCACAAACGTGCACCTGTATCAGTCTGCAAACTCTCTCCATAGCCTTAACATGGGGCACAAGCCCTTCGTAGCAATCCCAGTCCCCCCCCTCCAAGAACCTGTTCACCCTACACATAATAGCTTCTGTTCTGTGGCCAAAGGACCAATGTTAAGGCCTGCTTCTGACATTACTGAAGTGGCATGGTTGCCCCTGTGAACTCATAGCATTAGTTGCTTGCATGAAGTCACCTGCCCATATTATCTAAGTCAATCCCAAAAGGAAAAAACACCCCTCCTCAAGCATTAACAGTCTCCCCAAAATCAATGAATATAGCAGAAACCACATGGGTGCTGTTATGTATGAGTGGCAGTTTGGTTTTCCAGTAGTAACTATGCTGCTAGAGTAGGGAGAGAAGAAAAAGACTCTTCTTCCATTCTATCTTCTCCAGAACAAGAGCTGCTGAGGCTTTTCCTAATCCAGTTGAGATCTCTGGCATGAGAGGTCATAGTCCCCCCCACCCCCATTTTATGAATACAGAGACTGGATTGTGGTAATCTCTCATTAACTGCCAACCAAATGAGTTGTAAGGAGTAAACATTCTAGAAACTAATGTTCACCTTTTCCTTTCACCAGTTCCTGAAAATAAACTTTTATTGAAAGTGATTTAAAGACTCTAAAGATTATGAAAGAAATATCTAATCAAGAGTACCTCTTCTAAAAAAACCATTACATGTTCTATAGGTGCTCCAAGCAGCTCTTCAAACCTGAGGTCAGTCTTGTAGTTTTCTGCTTCAATGTGGCCTGTAGTCTTCATAATACAAAGGACTTTACATTTCATTCCACTGGGTATCTAAACCGCAAATACACAAATTATAATTGTCAAAAGAATGAATTGTGATTACGTTCACCCATATTGATGGTTGGGTCTCACACTGTGTAATGGCCCTTCTTGATAGTTATGGTTCAGTATGTTGTAATTTTACAGGATTACCATAAAACCCTCTGGAAAAGAAGAGCCATGCTCACCCAAAACACTTGGGACTTTTGTGTTTCCATAACTTATTGGAGGAACGTTTCATAAAGGAAGGGAATCAGTAGCTGCCTCCCAGCTGATAGCATGGATCAGTTTAAGTATCGATTTCAAGCCTCAGAAAACTTTGCAATGCCAGCAGATGAGAAGCTGACTCCCAGCTAATGGGAGATCAGCTAGAAATTGGCTTCCCTGCTGCACCTAGCCTATTCATGCACAACAGGCATGAATCTCTGGTTGGTGTTTCCATATGACACCTGCAGAGGCCTTCTCCAAGTAGCATACTTTTGGTGGTGTGGTGTAGCAGGATCAGTGCTTAGGAACTTGTTTCTGTATGGAAATCATTTGGACTGGGGATTACTTTATTTAAGGCACATTACAGCAGTACAGAATGAATTTCTACCCACGTACACTGCCACCAATGGCCTTGAACTGAATTTTGATGCCAGGGGGAAAAATCATTTTAATTGAAAGTAAAGTTGCTCATCCTATCAAACTAATCCAAAGTTGTTGTTTTTTTCAATAAAGGTATGGTGCTAGAAAAAAGATGATGCAAATTTTATGTTGTAAAAGGGGGTGTGGTATGGTACAGTATAGCCCAATCCCGTCAGATCTCAGAAGCTACTGAGAAGGGTCAGTACTTGAATGGGAGACCACCAAACTAGCAGGTGCAAATGGAGGAGTGGGGAATCAAACCAGGTTCTCCCAGATTAGAGTCTGCACACTTAATCACTACACCAAACTGGCTACACCAAACTGGAAGGCAATGGCAACCACCTGTGCTTAATCACTTTCCTTGAAAATCCTATGGGGTCACCGTACGTTGGCTACAACTTGATGGCACTTTACAAACATGCATGTTGCTAAAATAATGTACAAGTTACTTCAAGTTATCATTTCCATCCATTCTGTATTAACTGTGTATAAATTAAAATGAACAAAAAATAGTAATTAAAAGTTTCATATTTTAGCTCTAGTTATAAATTCACTGTATAAGGCAACATAAATTTGGGCAAATCCTGTTTATGGCAATGGTCACAAATACTGACAGAAGGTAACCACTGGCATAAAATACTAAGTGTTACAGAAATCACAGAAGTTTTTTATTAAGTTGAAGCCAGTCTAAAGCAAGAAAATAAGATTCTGCATAATCAGGATATCTCTGTGCCCCAGTTTTACATTTCTGACCACAAATTCATACAAATTCATACCAGAGAGAAATCACTACCCACGAAGTAATACAACCCACTTCTCCCAGTCTAAAATAGCGACCACTATAGGGCTCTTATTTTGGGATCTGAGCCAACAGTCTGTTTAGGTACCAGGTTTCACACCATAGCACAAAAGTTAACAACTTGTAATAATCCATCACATATTGTTTATGAAAGTAAGCTTTAGCGAACAATTACTACATCAGCACTGATCTTAACATAAAACTTTCTGAAACGCGCACTTTAAAGCAAACTAATTATAGTGTGAAGCACAAACCAGCGTTTCTACTGCACTTTCTAAAGAAGTCCAAGAGTTGAACTTCGCACAACCTAAATTAACTTTCCATTTGAAAACAAACATAAACAGATAATAAAAACCTCTACACGGCCCCTCAAAAGTGTCGCAGCAGAAACCAATCAAACAAGAAAATCAGCGTGTCCTCCTTCCTAGGCTCCTTTCCCACTTCTTTACCTTGCTACTAGCCGCCAGTCCTCCTGCCCTGGGAAGGCAGAAAGCCAGCAATGCGGGACGACTGTGCTCAAAGAAGTCGGCCAAGAGCTGCTGTTTCGCCTCCTCTTCCAGAAACGCGCTCCATTTGTCTTCTTGGAGCCTCAGCGAGTGCGCCAAGCGACTCCCGATGAACTGAACCCTCGGGTCCTCGGCGAAACTGGGCTCCTCCACCGTCTCTTCCTCTTCGTCCTCCATCTTCATGTGCGCAGAAGGCGAGGGGGCAGCGGCAGCGCCCCTTAAACAGCAGAATACTCTTCACCCGGCTTCTGAGTGGCCTTTCTCTTTGGCCCCTGCGGCTGGGACGCTCGGTTAGGGCCTCTTTCGCGCCTTGTCAGGCGTCCCGCAACTTTTCTGGAAGCTGAAAGCAGCCGCTTTTGTGTGGGCGCGTGTGTGTATGGGGGTGGGTGGGGTGTCCCGACTTTTCCCTTCAGCTTCAGTGAGCTTATCTCACCTGCTCCCCCCAACCCCCCGACGGCCTCTCAAAGCCGGCCGTTCCGCGGCTGCCTGCGCCAATCAACCCATCGTGGCGACAGCGTCCCGTTACCCTGGGGATCGCCAAAGTCACCAAGGCCACCCGCCGCCAGCTTCTCAAGGGAAACAAATCACGCCTGTGTAGCCAATTAGGGCCGTGCCTGGGGAGGAAGGAACCACCAGCCACCGCAACCCCGGGGGGAACAAGCAAGCCGCAAGGGTCTTCCCGCTGCGGGGAAAGTGGCCGGGGGAAGATTCAGCGCCTGGTGGTGTGTCATAATCAGAGCTATATCGCAGCCGCCGCGTCGCGTACACCCCGGGCCGGTGCACCACCGAGCCACCGGACTCGCTTCCTTTCAGCCTTCCCCTTTTCTTCCACTTTCTCAAAAGGCTGTAAGCAAGTTTTCCAGGCGAGCAAACAAATTCTTACCCCAAACAAAAAGACCATCCCATGAGTAGGTCATTCATTTCCCCAAAAAAGTTTCAAAAATAGTTGTAAACTTGTTTTAGAATCTGCTCTGCCAAATTAACATCCAAATTGCTGCTATGCTTGATCAACACCAGAATTCCATACTGTCAACCAAATGCAGTTAGGTGGGATGCAATAAAATGGGCCTAGTTCATTGACGGAGATTAGATGCAATTCAGCCCCTCCCCCATAAAAGGTGTTTAGCATTGTTGTTACATGCTTTAGACACATGTATACTTTTATACATATGGGAATGGCCTTCAAGCATTAAGGAAGTTAACTGGGTTAATTTAAAAAATGGCATTATCACTTAATATCTGCACTAGCATATGGCTAACACTGCTGTGTTCAGGATCCTTACAGGTACGGCATTTCAGGATACCAACATCCAATGGGAAGGGAAGTTTTGGCTCTTTGGTGACACCGTGTCTCCCAACTGGTGCATCTCACCATGTGGGAGGCCCTGGAGGAAGGAGGAGGGCTGGGAGAGCTACAAGTGCACTATGGGCAGATTTTGAGAACTCACCTGTTCTTCTTGCTAGCATGCCCTTGTGCCTGTTTGGAGTTTCTGCAGGTAGCCCTCCAACAGAGGTAGGAGCCAGTTCACAATGCAGTGCCAAACATCTGCAGAGCCTATGATACAACTTACAGCTGCAGTGACCAGTGTGCCTCTAGGTGTTCTGCTGCTGTGTTGTCAACTGTCTTATTACAGCCTGGATCTTATATTACTGCAAATTGTTTGACAGATACTTAGTGGTTTGACCACATTTGTTGCTGTCATGGGCACAGAGTGATGGTGGCAGCTCTACCTGTGATTCTGCACTCTGTCAGTGCAACTTGCAATAGCACAGGAGCCTTGTAGGTACAAGAATGCTGACAACCCCATTTGTCTAACTTGCGCTTCAGATGCCTGGTGATGCTACAGTCTTGCTCATGGTAAAGGGTGCTGTGTTTCCTCCCTTGTGTTCTGTATGTGGGTGGTGGCAAGCTGACCAAAGTGATGTGGCCATGTCAATGTATGTTGGTTGGTTGCCTCCTTCTTTGCCTGTCAGGAGGGTGTGAGCAACATACTGTGTCTGGCAGGTTGCAGCGGGGTTACTCCATTGCTTTTCTGTCCTGTGGATGCAAAGATGCTTGAGCCTTTATTCACTCAGGGCAAATTTTCTTGTTGTGATGTTCCATATAGTAGTTATTGTTAAAAACTACCTTCTGTATCTGCCCAAAGGCATGAAGCTACCTTGTGTGAAAGGGAAGTATAATGCTGTCATAGAATGTGAGTTTGTGATGCCCTTTTTCACTTAGAGTCCCTACCACCAGGACTATTTTTGGGCAGGAAAGGAGTTCTGGCTGGCTTCAGAGTTGGCCATGCCCACTACAGCCAAAACTTCTGCACATGCGTGGCTACAGAGGGAAGGCCTGGAGAGTGACAACCCCCCAGACGACTCTGAGGCGGGTGGGCCAGGGGGGGCTCTGGAAGGATCAGGGAGGCATTTAAATGCCTCCCTGGTCTGTCCAAGAGCTGGCTTGCCCAGGCGGCCCACAGGTGCGGGGCGCCTGGGCAAACCAAGAGAAGGCATGGGGGTGTGGCCTAATATGCTAATGAGTTCCTGCTGGGCTTCTTTTATGAAAAAAACCCTGCCTACCACCCTCCATACCTTCTGTGTCACAAGGTCAGAATTACAGGTAGGCCAGGCAGTCACAGTTCACCATCCATCTTGCCTCTTTTAAAACATATAGTGAGCTATGAGCACAACAACAGACACTCTCCCCACAACAGACACCCTCTGAGCAGTGTTCCCTCTATGCTGAGTTGGTGTGAGCTAGCTCACTGTTTTTTAGCTTCCGGCTTGCACATTTTTGTCTCAGGAAGGATGGCTCCAGAGCATACTAATTTATGCAGTAGCCAAATTGCTCACACACAACTTTAAAGCCAGTAGCTCACAAAGTAGAATTTTTGTTCACGAGACTCCACAGCTTAGAGGGAGCATTGCCTGTGAGGTACGTGGGGCTGAGAGAGCTCTTTCGAGGACTGCTCGTGAGAGAACCGATCTAAGAGAACTTGTGACTGACCCAAGGTCACACCAGCAGCTGCATGTGGAGGAGTGGGGAATCAAACCCGGTTCTCCCAGATTAGAGTCTGCACTCTTAACCACCACACTAAACAAGAGACTAATACTGCAACAGCTGGGCTGGAGAAGCTGGGTGGAGACAGCCTCCAGTGCCACAGCAATGCTGCTGCCTGGAAGGCCCCTTAAGCAGCCCAAAGGGATGTCTGCAGTGAAAGGCATTGGCCTCTCTCCATCGGCAAAGATGCTGGAGGGAGGTGGATGGCCACAGGCAATGCAGGGAGGGATGGTTGGTTGTGGGGGGGGGGGCAGAGGCTAAGTGGGCAATGGACAAACAGCCCCACTGAAAGACACAGGATGCACCCAATGGCCATTGAACACCAGGGCAGGTGGCTGCCGAAGATAGGATTAGGGAAGAGGGTGGGGCAGGGAGGAAAATAGTGGCTGACAACTCCAGGCTGCAAAGCAGTTGAGTCAAGGTGGGAGAAGGAACCTGTTTCCCTGCCAGTGTGAGACCTGGGTAATTTCCCTCAGAAGAGGGAGGAAGATGGTGGAGCACAGGCCCACCCAGGGAGCAGGCAGGGCCCCACAAGGTGTTTGGGGAGGTGGTGATTGGGAGCAGCAAAGTGTGTGTGTAAAGGTGCTTAATTAACAACTATGGCTTTCTGTTCCAGAGCACACTGCACTACTTTTCTCCCTCATGCACTTCCTGATGTTGCAATTAACAGGGCACCCTTAACATTTAAAATTTAAACTATCCATCAAGATTAATCAGAAATTAATTAGCAGGAAAGCATGCAACCTTAGTCTGTATGCTCGTCTGCCAATATGAAAATGTGCATTCCTTCCTCCCCTTTTTCAACACATACTTTTCATTCCTGGGTAGCCATATATACAAGCAGTTATTCATAGGCCTTGTTCCAGTATTAGCTGCATATGGATTACACTGTTGGATTCACACGTGTTGCACTACTTTCACTGCTTGCCTCCAACATTTTCCAATCCTCATTGTAGGTGCATCGTATTTGTGTGGTGTTTTTGTCACTGGTTGCCAAATCTGCCCCATTCCTTTTTTGCAGTGATGTTGGTGGACTGCAGGGAACTTTTTGAAATACATAAACCGATTTGCACAATTCTGTCATTGTATAATACTGCTTCCCATTTAGCTGAGTTCTCAGTCGATGTTATGGACACAGTAGCAATATCTACAATTATGCATTCGACATAAATTTTTGCAGTTGTTAGCTACTTACAACTGTGGCTGGTAGTTTTTCAGTCAGCAACAAATTCAGTCTGTACAAAGCCAGTCTGGAAAAAGACCAGAGAGAGAGATTGCTATTGGTGCTCTTGCTCTCCATACAGGTGTCATTATGACTTGAGTCATTAACAACTTTGCAAAAGGGGATACAACAACAATGCAGCAAAATGTTATTGCACAATTATGACTTTTTAGGGGAGAATGTGGGGGAGAATGGAAGACGTGTCTTCACTTACCGTGAAGATTCCTTCTTGGTGGTCCAGGAGTGGGGCAGTCCTCACTCTTGGGAATGGGCTCCTCCTCCAGAACAGGGTTGGTTTCTTTTTTTTAAAAAAACATATCCCCCTTTTCTCTGCCTTAACTAGAGGAACTTAGAAATGCACTCCCAACACCCCAAAGCCTTTGGAAGCTGCTCCCCAAAACTGGGTGGGTATGAGTGCTCCACTCCCAGACCACCGAGAAGGAATCTTCATGGTAAGTGAAGACAAATCTTCCATTCTGTCCTCACTCTTGGAACATAAAAAAAACAGTGTGCCCCAGGGTGGGATATCAGGCTTCCCGGTCTACAGAGTGTGTTGCAGCACTCTGCAGCCAAAGGCCACCTCAGCCAAGGCCAGCTTATCTACTTAATAGTGCCATGTGAATGAGTGCACAGACTTCCAGATGGCCGCCTTACATATTGTCTCCAAGGATGGAAATGACCTGTAAGCTGCTGGCGTGGCAGCCCACCTCAGAGAATGCGCTGTAATTCCTTTGGGCAGATCTAGCCATTAAGACTTGTATACAATTATGATACACCCCCTAATCCACCTACTTAAGGTAGAGGTTGATACCCATTGACTTAGGGAAGATTTCCTAAAGGACATGAATAAGGCATCTGATGTACACCATTGTTTGGTACTGTCTGGGTGCGTTCAGGCACGCCGTTTGATCTGGT